GCTTAGACGACAGGTATTGGAAGGTCCCGAGGGGCCTGAGCGATGATCTGTGGTCACGCCTAATAAAAACCTGGAGGAAACTCCCCCCCCAGATCGCCCGCCTCCGGACCAGTGGGAGGAAGTGGCAAGACAGCCCCTGTTTGGGAACGGATGGATCACAAACACACACAGCCAATTTTTTTGCAGTTCGGACTCAGTATGAAAGGGGTGGGTCAAGAATGGGATTTCCAGAGTAAAGGATCTGTGGGACGACCTCAGAAATGACTGGAAAACACCGGAACAAATGAAGGGACTCCTCCGCTACTGCCATAACTCTGAAGCAGCAGTAGAGGAACTTACTGAGGCCTTCCCTCTGGCCTGGATCCACATTCTGCGCAAGGGTCCACAACTGCAAGAGGGGGACTGGGTCAATACCAATGATTGGGCCAAACGCATAGGGCTAATTCACCGGGTGCGTGCAGACGATGCCCTGGTTGAAGAGTATCGGGTAGGAAAGGATGGGCGACTGGTCGGCAGTACAGACCCCTTTATATGGGTTTCTAAGACCCAGCTCCACCGAGTGAGAGTATACGGTGAGGGGGAGGGGCAAAGAGCTTTCAGGCCCGGGACCCCGTTGAGTGAGCTTCCCCTGAACCCGGTGGAGTGGGTGTGGAACCCGCCAGCTCACCATAGGGCACACGATTTAAAGCCCGTACCCCTCTGGACATGACAGTCAAAGCTTTCTACCGAAAGCTTAGAGTTAAAAAAGTTGTGAAGGAGATGGTCTGTGATCGCTGGCAGCGACACTTGAATATAGACAAACAATTATTGACGCCCATCAGATGGTTTAAGGACTGTAAATGCGGCCCGGCCAAGATCGCATCTTTACAATGGCAAATTATACACCGCTGTCTCCCTACTAACAGCTGGTTGATCGACCACACCCACCTGGAACAGCAAGGGCGGGCACTGCCTTGGTGCTCTCGGTGTCTTCTAACCTTCCCGTCAAGGAAAAACGAAGAAACAATAGAGCACATTTTTCTCCAATGCCCGGTAGCGGTAGCAACATGGAGATGGTGGGAGAGGATATGGCGACACATGGTCCCGGGACACGCATGGCCATGGGAGTGGCGGGCGATTCTGTTGGGCCATCGCCCGGACCTCCAAAATCAGACCTTCGCATGGAACATGTTCCACCTGGGACGACGAGTGATTCTATGGGTCATTTGGTGGCAACGATGTGCCCTTGCCATGGACAAGGTGATGGTGGATGGGGAGGAGAAAAAGGAATACCTCAAACAGCTGTTCCAACTAGAACTTTCTCGACTATGGGCAGTAACAAAACAAACATTAGACTCATTACATCAACCAAAAGACATTGCATCGGTGATTACAAAGTTTGGCCAAGAATGGTTGGGGGAGGGATGGGTAGCAGAGGTGGTTTGGTCCGGACCTTGGGACACACGGACTCAGCCCGAGAACGGTGCGGCCAGCATAAGGCCTCTCCGGGACTACCATCTGCTATTCAAAGACTGGACCACGATTAGTCCGGATGTTCCTCTGTGCCCGGCAGAAGAATTTGCAGACCCATTCCCGCCCCACCACCAAGCAATTGAAGAATGGGTTGGGTAGTCAAACCCTGGCCCCGCGCAACATAACCTTGGCCTTTCGTCAGAACGGGACAGCCAGTTTCAGTAATGGGACAGGCAAGTGCTGGGGGACGACGAAAGTACTCACTGGTGCCCCTCAGTGGATCTCCGCTTGGCCCCTGATGATGCGGCAGAAAGAGACAGGGATGCTGGACTCGGTTTCCAGCCTTGTGCCATCACCAATCAACATGGTCAGAGGAGGGAGCCAGCAGTGACAGAGGAAATCTGGCGCCAAACATCAGGGTGAAGAGCCCCCCCCCCTGCTCAGTCAATCCCCTGGCCTCCAGGGTAATCAATGCTGGCAGGTTCAGCTTATAGACTTTACGAGATGACCTGTGTTTTCGATTGCAATCGCAAGGGACGCTGGACCCGTTTTCCAGCAGGTGATGCTCCCCACCAATAGATGGAGCCTATCCCCAGGTGCTAGCGGTGTCTGCTCTTACCAGCATTGCTAGCATTGGAGGGACCGTTTTCTCGAAAAAAAAAAAAAAAAAAAAAAAAAAAAAAAAAAAAAAAATTCCTAACCCTAACAAATCCAAAAAAAAAACAGCAGCAATGAACTAACCCTTTTCTTTTTGAAACACGTATGAACGCGACAGGTTTTGAGTTCGCAAAGGCAAGAGAAAAACAAGCGGCCGCAAAGATATCATGGTGCGAGTTCGAAACAGCGATTTCGGTACTAAAGGATCGATTGGGCCTTTCTCTTTTTTTTTCTTTTTCTTTTTCTTTTTTTTTCCTGTCTGACACCACGGCCCACCCCTGTACTTATGACACCCGTCCCGGCTCGTTCGCGTTGGTCACATCTAAGATGCCTTGATTTGACTCTTGGGAGGGTGCCTTCTAATTCGATGAGTGTCGTTTCTCTCATCACATGTTTAGGTTTTGCGATTTCGCTGGTGGGTGCGGTTGGGGGTTGGGGGCGGGGGCGTTCTTCCGTTCCCAATATTTCCGATATTCGGCGTCCCACAAGCTTTCTCCATCTGTGATGCGAAACATCCTGTCAATCCGACGTAAACGCCGTCATGGCCCGCGTGCAGATCCTGCAGACACGCGTGTAGGCACTATCCCTTTCGGTCGGGCTTACACGTGCGTGCACAGGACCTGCTTACAGCTAGCTGTGTGAGGGGCTGGCTCCGGATTAGCAGGAGTGGGCGCAAGCGATAATCAATCAGAAGATACAATCCGGGTTAGCTTAATTCAAATTTCGTCACTTTCTAGTACCCATCAATGCCATCATCACTGCCCTCCCCTTTCCTGAGGCGCATGTCTTATCCGTGCGCGACCCCTCAGTGCCTCCCGAACAGTCAATCGCGAACAACCAATCACGGGTCCGTACAATCGCGACTTCCGCGTACACATATCTTCTCTACCATTACGCCATATCTTCTCTACCATTACGCGCGAATCCGAAGGATCCGCAGGAACGACTCGCAATCCCAAGTTCTCACCCGCGCATTCATTAAGACAACATAATTCCCATCAGACTCATTCATGTTTAGCGAGGGTGAGAAATCGACAAGCGTGCGAATCTTAGGTCGGAAGGAAAGAGAACATGCATTCAAACAGAAACCACCGATGTTGCAAGAAATTGAGAATGACAATTATGCCACAAACGGAGAGTAAGGAAGTACAAGCATCCATCGGACTGTCAAACATGCAAGATCTAATAGAGCCGCACACCAAAATTCAAGATAATTCACAAGTAAAATCCAAAGTTGCCGCAACAAAATTGGCCAAGGCGAAAATCCAAATTTATACAGGAAGGTTGGAAGAAGAAGAAACAAAAGGAAGAGACACCATCCCGATCTGTCTCCTCTCCCTCTCTCTCTCTCTTTTCACGTCCTCCGATGCGGGCAATCTATCGCCACCCACCAACACCGACTCGTCACCCCGCTTAGCCCAAGCAGGCCCGTTAGGTTCGCCCGTGCGCCACAGTCCGTCGTGGCCCTCACGTCAACCCCGCTTACTTGGCGCCATCCCGTCGGATCGCCCGACCCAATCTACTCACCTACCAACTTACTCGTTAGCCGATCCTCACTAACCGCGCTAACCCTCCAAGTTTGGAGAGAGCAACTAATCACGCTTCCGAAATTTATAGCATGCCTGCGTGCGCGATGAATTCAGGATTATGCCTAAGCAAAGGAAGAGAGGAAGTGCCTACGTCTGCATATCCAGGCCGCGGCACGGGGGACGGAGCCACTCTCCGCGCATCGATCCGGGCGTGCAAACGTTTGGCACCACTTAGAACAAAGGAAGAGAATGTGTATGCGAAGACGAGGCGGGAAAGAAGGAAACACAAAGTCCATCAAGAAAAAGAAGATTACAGTTGCGATTGCGCGCGCCAAAAACGACAGTTACCCACAAGATTAAGGCGTGGATGGAAATCAGAGCCCAGACCCTGTCGAGGCACGGCACGTGCGAGCAAGAAGCGACATGCAACCAAATTGCAAGGTGCCTAAATTCCTAGTCTAAATCCTAATTGCAAAAGGAAATTCCGAAAGAAAAACAATTCGGAGAGGTTGCGGGGGCTCGACATTAGTTCGAATTTCAAAAACAAAAATTCTCGTGCGCTAATCACGCCAAAATTCCTAGTGCTCACAGCAGAACAAGAAAGGAGTTATGGCAACCGTTATTTCTCGCGCTCGCTAAGGCGCGGTCACTCAATCGTCGGCGCGGGACTTTCCCGGCACCGGCCCAACGAATTCCAACAAAAACGAAAAAGAAGTGAGGGCATCCATGCAACTTGCCCAACCGATCCCGGCTTACTCCCGTCGCCCATCAAAGCCCTCCCGTTTTTTCCACCGCAGCTTCACGCAGGAAGTCGCGAGGTTACAGAAGATAGTTCGTCACAGGAGAGCTTGACTTATGTGGGACGGTCGGCGGACAACCCCCTGATGAGATGGTTGCGGCCATCGAAACGCGTCGGTTTTTCCATTGCGACTTATTCTTTCTATCTTTGATAATACTGCTTGTTAAGTGCTATTGAGGATCGGAGTCTTGGACACGAGTGTTGTTGCACATGTGTCTTAAGTCTTCAACTCTGTGATAATTCCATTATTGCGGATTGCGCACGTTAACTTACCTGGAGTCCAGTTTCGCCGGGCAGAGTGGGCGTGTTTACATCATTACATCATTGTACCTGGTATAGGGGTTACACAAGTTTGTGCGATCGGTAGAGTCGTTGTCAAAGATGTCGAACGCCAAGCAGCGGGAGAGCGGCCCGCAGGGCGGTGGAGGTGGTGAAGAACGCGGTGGTTCAGACCACCTACGTGCTATACGTGCAACGAGTTGGGGCATTACGCAAACCAGAGACCATCAACATCGACGGATTCCCGTGGCTCGGGATCGCCAAGACGGCACGATTCACGAAGACGAAGGGAGTCACCGAATCGGGACACGAGGAAGCAGAACGTATGAGGCAGGAGGCTAGAGAAGCACGCGCCTCAGAAAAAGCAAGGAAGAAAGGTGAAGAGCGGCGAAAAGTTGCACGTTGAGAAGGAGCAGCGAGCATTAATGAAGAAGGATGTGAATATGACGGTTGCTGTCAGGATTAGCGAACTGGAAGACAACTGGTTTAAACGGTTGCCAGGCGTTATTGGACCATTGTACTCGGCGGTGAAGGATTCTGGTAAGAAGAAGGTTACATATCGATCTGACATTGAATCGCGGTCTGACTATGAGAGCGAAGCGAGTGATATGAGCGTCACTCAAGAGCTAAGCGAGCAAGCGGCACAACTGCAGATCTCGGAGAAGCAGAAACGAGGCTCGAAAGTTGTCGTTGATGACAACCCTCCAATGGAGAGGACCCCAAAGCGGACGCCGAAGCGAGGCAGACAAAAACCCGTGAAGCTAACGGCCCGCATGACAAGATCGAAGACGAGGCGATCACCGGGCAGGACAACGCTGAACTTGAAGAAAACACATGTGCGTGCTCCTACCGTTAGATCACCAGTTAAGACTCCATTGGCGGGACGTAGGACCCCCAAGACGTCGAAGCCTCGCAGAGAGATGGCAGTAGTGCCTCCAGTATGCACTCCCGGTACGCGCGGAGCACTGTCGAAGCCTCGCAAAGAGATGGCAGTAGTGCCTCCAGTATGCACTCCCGTTACGCGCAGAGCACTGGAGCGCCTACAGTATCATAACAAAGTTATTGACGAATTCAAGACCTTTGACGCGATCGAATTGCAGAAGGTTTGTAAGAAGGAAGGTGTCCCGTACAACCGGAAGATCAAGTCGATTTTTGATACCACCGACAAGAGGGCCATGCTGAGGTTCGGAGCCACGGTCTCGGCAGAGGCCGAGATCATTAGTATTGACAAATCCGCGACACCTACTGAAGGACCGGATCGAGATGCACCACCGGAAGTCGAGGAGGCGTGAGAACCGTTGGAGACGCTGCTATGGCAACTTTGCAGATGCATTACCGAGTTGAGGGGGGAATCGTATTGTTTTGATTCTTAATTGGACGAGCTACTATGCCTTGTGATCCTAAGTTTGACTTTGGAGGGACAAATTCGGTGGTTGAGCAAGTGTGTGAAAAACTGGCTGGGACTATATGAGAAGCATGGAATCGAGTTTCTTAGACTAACCAGCTGCGTATATATTGGGCCCTCGACATATTGTAAATCCATGTACGTCGGTAAGACAACGCGTAGCACGGTAGTGAGATGGTGAGAGCACGTGTATGCATGCCGAGCGCGTAAGCAGTGACACTTTCATAGATGGATCTGCACGTTTGGTATTGAGAAATATGTGTTAATCCCTATCGACATTTTTGAGGGATCGGACCTCGTTTGTCTGTAAAAACTTTACATCCAACAGTGGTGCCCGTTCTTAAATATGGCGTGTGTGCACAAATCATCTCGAAAGAAGTCGAAACCTGGGCGCAGGGAGAGAGCCTCCAGATGTGGGAGAGCATCAGTGGATGGCGGGAACGTGAGACCAGTATTCGTCCCTTAAACGAACTCTGCAGCATGGAGTCTTGACTTCTACCGGGTTTTGAACGAGAGTGTTGAGGGTAGTCGGACTGACGTATGGTGTAAATTTTGACCGGGGAACGTGTGGAGCGGGGATGGAATACTATAGGGAAGACTTTTGGTGATTCAAAAGTATCAATTGGGCAAGACTGTTGCTGACTTCGGGATTGTAAATTTATTTTCGAGCGTGGGGGTGTGTTTTGTATATCACACATTAAATTTGCAAATGGAAACCGAGGTGTAGTTTTCTGAAGAGCCTTTTGATTCAGATATTGAATAATCCACGTAGGATTCAAGACGTGTCTGGTTGGGAAATGAAATCCTTATTAAGGTTGTACAATGTAATTAAGGGCTTCTCCCGTAAATCACCTCCGAAGTATTTGCGGCGGTTGATCTCCAGGATTTTTCGGGACCGCTTCGACATTTGTTTAGGAGCGGATCATGTGTTTCATGTTAACTTTGACAAACGTATTCGGCTGCCGGAATTACGTAAGGTAGTGAATGATTGCCTGATGACGTGTGAGTTACCTATTTGCTACTTACATCGGATTCGGAAGAAGATCCGCATTGTGTGGGTTAAAAACCCATCCATGGCGGAGATGGTACACAACCATCGTAAGTTTGCGATGAAAAGTGTACTTACCTGTAGATGTACGGGTTTGCCCTGCCCACGTGAGGAGGGCCACATCCGTTTTCGAATAAGTCAGTTGGAAGGAATTCACCCTTTGTTGCACAACTCAAAAAGTGTGCCTTGGATGTTGAAAACGATCGAGTTAGGATGCTCCAGAGTGAGATTATGTGTGGTTTTGAAGGTTGGAGGAATTGCCAGAGGAAGCCACCATTAGTTCCGATTGAGACGCTCCGTCGGTGTTTTTCAGAGTCGGGAACTCCGGAATCGTGTTTGTAAAAAAGAGCAGGTTGATGAGGTCAGGGATCGATTTGATGGATTGGTCCTAACTCCCCTTGATCGGAACCCTGGGGAGACCCTTGTATTATGCCCCACGTTGTACTTTGATGGAATGATGTCCACCTTTGTTTTGAATTCTGGATACAGGATTGGACAGGCACTGAAGGTGAGGTATTGAGAGCGATCAAGGAGGATGTGATGGCTATGCAGTTGGGGAGCTTTGTAAAGTGGGACAAAGAGGGGGGTTTCGGCTGGGCATATATTATGCCGAAACACAAGGATCTGGGTAAGTACAGACCAATTTGGCCCACATACAAGGAGCCAATGGTGAAGACGGGTAGGTTGGTTTCACATGCACTTAACCACCTACTGTCTACAGTCCCAGTGGCTGGCATTTCAATTTGCCGGCGGTATCGCTGTTGTCTTTGCGCCTTGAGATTACCAACAAGAAGATTTCTCGTATGGGGCCTAACTGCTACGTTTCCTCGCAATCCTTCGACATGAAGGGGATGTTTAGTCGGCTTCCGCATCAGGATATCTTGAAGACGGTCTATTTGGTTGTTAGCTATCACTTGAAGAAGCATCGTACCATGATCCAGGTCAACACTAGAGGGAGAGGCACCTCGTTCGGGATGACCACCGGGTGTGACCACTGGCGGTCGTTGAAACTTGTGGATATCCGATCGTTTGTGCGGATCGAATTGGAACACACGTACACCTTTGCGACCAGTATACTCTTGCAACAGGTTGTTGGGATTCCTATGGGCAAGACTACAAGCCCCCCTCTGGCTTGTATTTTGTGCGCATACTCTGAATTTTTGTTTCTTCGGAGCTTAGGCAGATTTAGTCGAATCGGATGCGTGTTTGGTTTTCGTCCAGTTGACGACGTCATGCTCGTTACTGCAACTCGCAGGTCGGGGGTAGCGGCGCGTGTGGCAACTGCATTTGAGAGATGTTACCCCGATGCCTTGACGTTAAAAAGGACCGATGATGGGACCGGGACCTTCGATTTTTTGGGCTGCCAGATCCGGACGACAAAGTTTTTTCCCTTCTTGAACTGCGTTCAGATGTCCAAAAACGAAGGGTGTATTTGGTCGGACGATCCCCTCTTAATTAAAAGTGGCCAGTGTTAACTGACATGGGGATGCAAGAGGGAAAAGAGTGCGGTAGTGAGTGGTTACCTTCATCAGATCGACAGAAATACCACAGTGAGATCTGAGATTCCCCGCCGGGTGCTGACTTTGAAGTGTGAGTTGGTAAAGAAGGACTTTCCGGAAGCTTTCTTTCAACGCGTACTGAAGCATTTCACCGTCCGACGTGACGACGACTGAAAATTGACAGCCCAATTTCTGCAGGATGGATAGATTGATTGTATATGTTGGCTTCGACTTGTCGCCTGTGTTTAAGGGAGCCAGTGTTGTAATACTGCCTTTTTCAGACAGTCGGAATGTCAGGACAGGGTCGCCACGATTCAGTAGAGGGATCTGCCATGTCGTTCGATCCGAGCCACGTTTCAGGCCGTGTTAGTGACCCTGTGGGGGAGTACTGCGGTAACAGGTCTCCTGATATCTGTGAAGTTCGCCCCGATGTCCTGAGGGACCTGGTATGACGAAGGGTAGGGGACGCCCCTATTGTGGCAGAACTGCCCGGTAAACCGTAGGCAGAGAGAGAGAAGAGGACAACAAACGAGGGGCTGTGACAAACTGTTTCGTCGGAGTTTCACCGACTCATCAGGAGGCTGAACCCTCAACAGTCTGCAGAATCCCCTCACTGATTACACTGTAAATGATAATCTACCTTAACCAAAATCAAAGTAGACTATCACTCACCCACACCAGATGGAAAACTCTACAGACTGTCGTATATATATATATCGTCAAATAGAACTGCCCGGTAAACCGTAGKCAGAGAGGGAGAAGAGGACAACAAACGAGGGGCTGTGACAAACTGTTTCGTCATATCTGTTTGTGACGTATATATATATATACCGGGCAGTTCTGTTTGTGACGATATATATATATATATATATATATATCGTCACAAACAGAACTGCCCGGTAAACCGTAGGCAGAGAGAGAGAAGAGGACAACAAACGAGGGGCTGTGATTTATATATATATATATATATATATGGTCACACTGTGAATCAGAGCGCAAAGGCAAAAAAAAGCAAAACAAGGAGAGGAAAAGAAGTAAGGAAGGAAAGCCCCACCTGTTCATCACCTCTTACGTACAAGGGCAGCCATGTGGATGACAGGTTGAGCGCTGGCTGCCCCCATCCCTGTGTGTCACAAGGACCCACTTGCACGCAGCCAAAAGGCAAAGAGGTAAAGAAAAGGAGGAGGAAACCAGACCTTACGGAGGCAAGAGAAAGAGAAAGGTCAAAGAAAAGACAAAGGAAGAAAGCAAATGACACATCCCACAGATAAACCAATTGCCACTGTCACTACAAAGTTCAACATTTTTTTTTCCCCTTTTTTCTTGTTTTCTTTTTTCTTTTCTTCAGAAATTTGTACTTTTTCTCTTTCTTTCTTTTATCTGTCCTACAATTAGTGTTGCTCCTGACCTGCTTGATTCTATTGACCAGAGTCAGGAAGAGGAGCCCCCACCCCACCCCGGCAGATAGGACAGGCACGCTGAGGATGACGTGGATGTTCACAAGTTACCCAAGGAGAGCTACTTCAGCACAGCATTCAGCAGGACGGCTCACACGGACCATCCCATCCCATCAAAACAGTCCTGACAAAGGACATGCTGTCCACATGTCAAAAGAATAGCAGGACGTTCATCACAGTGCGGCATCATGCAGTCCTGATAGCGTCCTTGAGCACAAAAGGGGCACCAAATATCTGGGTGATAGGGAGGGATGTGTACAATGAGGAAATGTTGGACAGCCTTCGGCACAGACGGCGGCGACTGGAATCGATTGATAATGTTGATGGCATAGGTGATGAATTCCGCACGCAGCCAAGACGCACCGCGTCCCTGTCCCGACAGGTGTCACGCGAGATTCGGTCGATCAATAATCCAGAATAAAGTATGATTCGGTAATGCACACAAAAATTCATTTACGTTGAAAAATAGCCTGAATCATTGTCCCACCATCCCACAGTTCCCACTGGGCAGCTGCACGAACGAGTGCCATATAATGCCCGGGTCTGTGCACAATGCAGGCAGAAATATGAGGATGGTCATTAAGGTCATCGCCTGGCGTCGCATAATGCATAAGAAGGTGGCGACCGTGTAAAGCTAGCTGTAAGACATTTACAGAATATATATATATATATATATATATATATATATATATATATATATATATATATATATCGTCAAAT